TCTTGCTAGCATTCAGATATTTAGTGACAGAGAATATCAAAGAGAACAGTTAATTAAGATAGGAAAGAAAAAAACTCTTCTTAATAGGATGCACTGGTCACTCCAAAGTTAGTTAAGTATAGGAAGTTTATAAGGAGGCTAAATAAGTCTTGACTAAAAGTCCTTGAACATGTGAAAGAAGAATGAAGATAGTTATGACTAATTTTTTTAATTCTATATATAATTTTAAGCAGCTCTTTTTCTCTTTAATGAGATATACTTTTTAATTTTTGCTGAAGACAATCTAAACTTCTTTCTCAATTACCCATTGCAAAACGATAGACTGGCTTACTTGCTAATAAGATACATAGGAAAAGTCCCAGGCTGACTTCAGGTCAGACACCTCATTAGCACTTCACTATCATCTGAGTTCCATTTAGGGTCATCTGCATTAAGGACCTTTAACTTTGCTTGAGAAGTCTGTGGCTGGATCATATGTGTCACAAGGACTGATAAAGTCCTGGATCTTGAATTCATCCTGAATAAATAAGGTAGTGAATATCCCTGTTCACTTTCACATTTTGAACACAACCTGGTTTGTAGGAATTAATCAGCAAAATTAATTCTAATTAATTAGAATAGCTGTTGGACCGTAGCCTTAGATCCCATTTATTTGGTCTTATAAACAATTTACTTATTTTCATCTGTTCTTTCACCACTGCAGTTAAAAAAATTAAATTTAGAGAATAGTCATAAATGGGCCAGACTCTCTACCTAGAGTCCAGTAACAAGTGTAGTACTACAGGGGTCTGTTCTAGTTCAAATTCTATTCAATGAATTTATCCATGAGCTTGGATTAAGGACAGAGTGCATTCTTATTAGATTTGCAGATGACACCAAAATGTCCGTCATTATAGCTGAGGACCAACAGTCAGTATAGTTGAGGACAGAGTTGCCGTAGGGACATAGACAATCTGGAGGAATGAGCCAAAAGGAATCCTACGAAACTCAACAAGGGCCAGTGTAAAGTCCTGCACTTGGGTAGGAAGAACACCTGGCAACAGGATTGTCTGATAGAAAGGAGCTCTGCTTAATAGACCCTGTGTGTTACAGCAGACAGCAAACTGAGCATGACCCTGCAGTGTGCCCTGGCAGCAAGGAAGGCCAACAGCATCCTGAGTTACATTAATAAGATTGTGGCCAGTAGACTAAAAGAAAGGATTATTGTCCTTTACTCAACATTCCTGTGACCATAACTGGAATAATGTGTCAAGTTTTGGGCCCCATGACAGGGAAGAGGGTTTTTCACTGAAGTAAGTTCAGTGGAGGGCCACCAAGATGATTGGAGGCTGGAATACTTACCCTGCGAGGAGAGGATGAGGAAGCTGAGCTTTTTCAACCTGGAGAAGAGGGGAAATGGAATAAGAAAACTTCCCCAAGTTATAGTCTTCTAAAAGGGAAAATAAACAGATAATTTTCAACAAGCATTTTCACTCTATTAGATATAATTTTTTGCCTTCATTTTTTTTCTGGTGAGTGCTTCTGCAGAGTGGGCAAAGGTATTTATTATCTTCCTAGTTTATTCCCTCAGGAATTGTAATAGTTAGTCCATTAAATTAATTTAAATGAGAACTTCCACTATGAGTTTATCTGGGGTAAATTTCCTTTGCTATCATGTTTACAACAGGAACCATGTGTATACTTGAAGTATATTGCATATGCAAAGTGTGTGTTTCTAGCACAGATTCATAATCTATTTTTGGAACTTTGTTTCAGGCAAATGTCAAAGGCTATTGCCTCTTTCCTTTACTAAAAATGAACCTGTAATCAAGTACTTCCACTCATATATAAATAGAAAGACTTATGGGTCTCCCATATGTTTGCATTATCCTAAGTTTTGGCAGTTACAACACATTTGAGTAGTGTTTTGTTCAGACTAGTTTTCTAAACTGAATTGCTCTGTAGATCATCAGCTTGATCTCTTTCCACTTCTACATAGTTACAAATTTTTTATGTGTAATTATTGCTTCAAATCTTTCCTTGTGTAAGCAGGCTAATTTAATGCATGAAAGCTCCTCAGTTTTACTGATTTTAATCTGTTCTCCTTCCACAGCGACTTAGAGAAGTACTTGTCCAGTCTAGTAGGTCTCAACTGGGTTGGTCAGGTTCTCTTTCTTTGTGCACACATGCCCTGAGCAACAATTACTCTTTCTCACTCCCTTGTCCTTATTGCTTCTTTGTATGGTGCAGCCTGGCAGTTCCTCAAGCCTCAAATTTTCTCAGTTGCTGATTGTGAATTCAAAGCTATGACCTACCTCTGAGATGACTTCAGCTGACTGCAAAATTGTTGCTTTAAACTTTTCCCCAAAAGTGGAGTTCAGTCTTCTGCCATTTATTATTGCTAGATTTTATTTTCTTTTTTTCTTTATTTTTTTTTTAACCGGAATATTAAAGTAAAATAATATGTGAGCATACTTTGGATCATATAGGAAAATATAATTTTTAAAGTAATCTCTTTGACAAACTGAAATGTTGGATGTGACTGCAGATGACTGAAGTGGAGAGTATGTTACAATGCCCATACAACATAGGTGTTTCAATTAGTCTAAAACTTTCCATAAAATACTAAGACATCAAAGTTCATGCTTTTACAGATTATAAATTATATTTAGAGAAAGATCAATGGATCTCTTCTGTACAGTAGCTGATATTTACAAGATTGTTTATACATAACATACATTAATTTTCTCTCAAAAATCCTCCATGTAAATTAAATCATGCTGTTTGCTGTTTGACTTTACTGATCTTCTTCATCAGTTCTTTTCCGCAGTGTAAGTGGATGTGGAAGCCTAGCGAGTTAGGTGTTCTGCTTGAAAGTTGCCTCTGTATCAAAGTAGTACTTTTCAATGTATAAGCTCTGCAACTTTAGTTAAGTTTAATTTTTCTTGTTTTTTTCTTGTGAGATGAATTTTCTTTTAAGTTGTTTTCATTTGAAGTGCTGTACCTCTGTAAATCAATTGCATAGAACACGTCATTTGACTGAGATTCTGAATCTAATTTTGCTTTGAGCTTGGTATTGGAAGCAGGTGACTGCTTGTTCTTGTACATTTTCTTGCATGATAAAGACGCGTCCACATAGATTTTACTTTAATAATAGTGGTTATGTAACATACATTAAGTTTTCTTTCTTTTAATCAACATTTTTCTGTTACAAAATATCTCTTGGCCGTGCATTTGTATTTTCTGTGTTTTAAGCTTGGTACCAGTCTGTCAAAATTTATTGTATACTGAATCATAAATAGTCTAGTCCTTTGATATTATACATTGTTGTGACAGTTTTCTTCTTTTATTCTGAAATAAAGAATAAAACATGTCTAGGTCTATTTTAGTTACTTATACCCCTGTCATCATAGGACAGTAAGCAGTTTTTGGTTTGGTCTCTGATACATAAATCTGTAGTCTTGCATTGTGCTTTTAAGGTTTTTTTTAGTTTTACAGAGGAAACCACCACTGTATGATTTAGAAGTGCTGTACTGCACAACAGATCTTGAGAAAATAAATGTAAGACAGCAAAAATAATGTACCTAAAGCAGCTTTATTACTTGTCTATATAACGCTAAAGTTTTCGATTATGGTAGTATTTTTTAATAGTATAATGAAATAAAACATTTTTAACCTAAAATTTCTTTATTAGCAAGACTGAGTATTTTCAACATGAGGATCTGTTCCATTTATTTATACAGAACATCGGAGGATTCTGATCAGAGATCTGATATGCCTTGTGCATGAAAAATGATATATATTGCTTAGTTGCTCTGGGAGTATTATTCCCATTTTTTAGTGTATAGGTGTTTCTAACAGTAGGAAAACTTCTTTTCATCCTGACATCACCCACTACACGTTAAGGGCAAGTCTCAAAGGCTGTATGATAGAACGACTCAGAAGTAAAAAGAGTGGAACATTATTGTTTGAACGACTGTTCAAGAACTCCTAATCATTATTATGGAATAAAAAAGCCATATTTTAAAGATGCTAGTATGACATAGTACAGTTCATGCCACATCAAGTTTGTTTATGCAAATTTTATGGTGAATTTTTTTGTGCATTGCCCAGTCATTTATTCATTCCAGTCAAGATGGAGTTTCTACTGTGTTAGATGTTCTAAATGCTCACAGGTGAGAGACTTGGCTTCCAAACATCTGCAGCCAAATGTGGGGAATGGGGAAGGATGAAAATGCTAATAAAATATTGAAAAATCCTACATGGGTTATATATTTTAAGTACAAAAAAGTTAGAAGTGCTAAGTTAATGTTTTCATAGACAATTTTTTAGCTTGTCCAACATTTTGTGAGTGAGGTATTTGAGTAAAATAATCTGGCCTATTACAGTAATCAGAGAGCAAAAAGAGAATTACACATGAAGCCTCTGTACAATCTTAAGTATAAATAATTATGCTGAGATGATTTGTTTAAATGTGTAATTTTTATTATCCATCTAACCTTGGCCTTGTGTCAAGTCTAAATGGGCTTTTAGAGCCCTGTCAAGCTTTGATGGAAAGAATGAACGTATTTGGCAGCCTTATTAGCAGTTGGAGTACAGTGGCTTTGCCTGCTACCTAGGTTACTATATAATGCTGCTGTTTCCCTCCTCAATAGGATGGTTGTCACTTTTCTACATATGGGGTTCCTTTTAATGATATAGCTGTATATTTTGCTCTAGCCATGCTGATTTCAGGACTGCATTTGCAGAGGTGAAAATTACGTGCTGTCATTATGCCTGGTACAAAAGTTTATAGTATAAGTTTTGAGAACATTACATAATTACATAATTACAAAATGTTCACTAGCATTAAACAATGTTCTGATTGCTTCAAATTTTTGAATAAAGCATATTGACCTTCCTCATTTTATGTCAGTTGTCTTTACTATGTTAAACAGAAGGAAATTTAATCTTTTAGATTGATCAGAAAAACACAATTCAAAAGAAAGAGTTAGCATCCAGTGCTACTATGTGTCCCACAGGTTCTTCTTTCATCAAAACTGCCTCCACTGGTGAGTTAGAGGAGCATATTGCGGCCACTACTGGTGCCATTACTGTTGCTAGCACATCTGCTGATGTTGCTGTATCCAGTGCAGTGACCACCCATAGACAACCTTCTGAAGAACAAGTGCAAGCTATGAATATAAGAAAATCAATTCTGGAGTCGGCCAGTTACAAGGAAGCACTCTCTCTTCATCCAGCAAATTTACAAAGCACAAGAAGACGACCAAGAAATGCTGAGCAGATAGAAAGAACTAAAGAACTTGCAGTTGTTACTCATAGAGGTATTGGATATTATTTTACTTGTGCCCATGTAGTTATGCAAAAATATTTTGTATAAGTTAAAAGTGAAAGTTCAGGTATCCTTTCAGGAAATGTAGTTGAACCAAATGGGAAAGGGATTAAATCTACCTAAATTTGCATTCTAATGGGGCAGCCAAATGGAAAAATGAAATTAGTAATAATATTGTCTTGGTAATTTAAATTGATTTGATTTATAAAAAGACAAAAGGGAAATATATGGAATTTTCTTTTGATGCCACTTTATAGCATATATCATTATATTTCATAATGCAGCCTAGTGTAAGTAATATCTGATGAAAGTTTAGAGAATTGAGATTAGGATATTAATCTATTCTGCATACGTGTTTAGACATAATTAACTATAGCATAATAAAATGTACTTTATAAATAGCTGCTGTTCTAAACTAGTAGGTGATGCAGTTGTACTCCTCTCCCTTCTACCTAAATTTTCAGCAAAATTTTGGCTTTTTAAAACATCTGTACATTTTCATTCCATCAAATATGAAATCAATGATCAAAGCAACATTTAGAACACTAGGAAATTCATTTGCAAGTATTAAAGTGGTAAAGCTAAGAATTTTGTATATTCCTATACTCAGATTATTTAATCCATATGCTAAAGTATCGATAATGAACAACATTTGGAGTATAAACCAAGCATTATTTGCTATGTTAAAAGGTAAAGGTTGATATCTGAAACATGAGGATGAGAAAAAGTAATGCTGGAATGTCTTAATTTAATCAACAGACATTCAAAAAAAAATTAATGTGGTGGTTTTTTATACGTACAGAAGTTCAGAGAAGGATCAGCTTAATTTTTCAGGGTATTTGTTGAATATCATTTATTATATTTTTTGAATTTTTCATGTTAATCAATTGTACATTAAGAATTTATAAACACAAATATGAAATATATGGAGGAGAAACATCTTTTATAGCAAAAGCAATTTGCAGAAATTTCATTATATGATGATATTTTGTAAAGGCTTCTTTAGATTGGAATCTATTGTCTTACTGGATAGTCATCTAGTATAAGTTTTGTAGCTTCATTTACTAACATCTTTTGAAACAGCAGAGCTGCAATTCTTCAGAATTTTAAAATATGTAATTTAAGTAAAACAACTAAAACACAAACACAGTATTTGGTTTGCATATGAAATATAAATTACTAAACAGATGTTCATATTTAATTTGTTTTAATTTCAATACAAATGTGAAGTACTTTCTGGTTATTGACTGGTATAAATTAATCAACAATTTGATTTGTACTGGTTGTATGGATATACATTCATTTCAGAACATCTTTGATCCAGTTAAAAAGAGCAGGCTTATTTTCAGTTAAGAGGGAGTATCTGAGGGCCTGTAATAATATGTTGTATTTTAAAGATGTATGAGTGTACTAATTTGGCAGTTAAATGTGATATGCAGGCAGTTTTTTCTATTTCCTGCTTGTAATCATTAGACTTCAGTGTCCTCTCCACTTTTTTCTGTGTTCCTCTCTTCTCTGACCTATTCTTTAATACAAGATATAGGTAAGGCACATATTTCTAAGTTATTTTGTCATTTTAAATGATTGTATAGACCTTATTGGAGAATAAAGCCCACACCTACTTCTGTGTGCATTTTATTCCCTCATGACATTTAAAGTATTGATTTTTTCTAACACTGTTTATAGAAAATCTTTAATTTCTTTTTTATTGTGTCATACTCACAGAACACTATATGTGTGCCTTCTATTAAAGTGGTATGCATATACTGAGGAAAAATTTACCATTTTTACTTGGCAAACACAAATATTTGATAACATAATAGTCATTAAAACATATCAAATGACCCTCAATAAATAACCAACAATTGTCTTCCATAAAATATTCTCTATTGCAAAGACAAAGACATATTTTGAAGGAATTTTTGTGAACGTGAGATCATTGTTATTTGACTTGAAAGAATTTCCATTATGGAGGGATATTCCACAGGTGTTTCTGCAGTTTCCTGTAGGTTACTGTTGAAGTATTTAACTTTCTCTTTGACAATGAAATGTACACAAAAGTCTAAAAAGTACTTGTCTTGCTCTGCATATTCAATTACTATAGAACTATATATGAGCTACTTAAGAATTTTATATAAATTGCTTTTAAAATTATTTCTCTATTTAATAGATATTAAAATTAGATTTTACTTTAGAAATACATTTTTTGCTGTGCTCTTGATTGTAATTTAAGAATTACACACACAAATTATGCAAATTAATTAATGCTTGAGAAGATAAAATTTAATATATTAAATATAATATACTAAAAATTACTATTTATATGTGCAGATATTTAAAATTGTAAAAATGTACTGTACATATAGTTTTAATTGTAGGCTTTTTTGAGAATATTGCTAGTAAGATCAGAATAGTGGAGTTTTATTAGCACTGATGCAAAATAACTACCAAAAAAGAGTAATACTGTTGCCTTCCATGGGATTTTTCTGGCAATAAGGTTTTCCAGAATGAGTAGATGATAATAGTATTGTTTTGTTTTGTAAACATATTTTTTGAAGTGTATGCATGCATGAGATGTGGAGAGAGAACTAGAGGTTAATATGTATCCAAAATTCTGCTACTACATGTGAATTATTGTACCAAACTTACTATGTCATCCTCAACAATAATTTTAATTTGTGTCAAAAGCTGTCTGAAGAATTTCTTCTCTAAGCTTATTAGCTGGAAATCACAGAAGAGGACATGACTTTGAGTTTTGATTATTTAAGAGAGGTAAAAGAAATCCTAGGTGCATTTGGTGAAATATTTTCATTAGAGGTAGGGAAGTATAAGTATCATTTTACAAGGCAGTAGTGAGATCACATGAGGAATACTATATATGATTATAGTGTCCTCATCAAGAATAATTCAGACTGAATTAGATGAATAAAAGTACTATAATGATGTTACATTTTTCTGATCATCCAACTTAGAAAATAAAATGTAAGACAGAATGAAAGGATAAATTTTCAAGAAGTGAATACTGGTATATGGAGAACCTATATAAGGACAAGTTAGTGTATAATATATACAACTATATTATATACTAAGATATACTTTTAAATGAAGATATAGTAAGGAGATGAGCAAGAGGAGTTCTTGTTATTGGAACAATGAAGTCTTCTTGTGGAAGGAGGGAGTAGATGAAGGACAAGAAGCTTTCAAGATGCACCTTTATAGTCTAATGAAAAATATAATGAGATATGATAGCTGGAAGAAAAACATAGCACCTCTTGGGTATTAGTTCTAAAGAAACCAAATGGTCAAGCTCAGGAAAATTTATCCTCTCCCCTATTCCGAAGTCGGGGGAAAAAAAGAGAACCCTAACCACTTTCATTCAATCAAATCTAGGAGCTTCAGAAGCTGAGCATTCGGTAGCAACTTTTGTAGATACTACAATCACAGTTTCTAGTATGATCTGTGTTTTTCAGATGTCCAGGAAGGAAATTAAGCATGATGTAAACATGGTATTTTCTCTTTTTTTTTTTTTTTTTTTTTTTTTTTTGTTTTTTTTTTTTTTTTTTTAGTTTTACTGTTTGTTTGAGGTTTGGGGTTTTTTTTGTTTGGGTTTTTTTGTTTGTTTGTTTTTCTTTTTTGGGGGGGTTTGTTTTGTTTGGGTTTTTTTGTTTGTTTTTTTTTTCTGTTTAAGCATTTAAGTACTGTTAGTTTCATCATAACTAAAGAAGTGGAGGATAACCTGATATTTTTGGCCTTTTTTACTATTTGTGCTCCATGCAGTGAGAGTTGAGAGTTTAACAATGCTGTTAGTTCTATTGACTTGTTCTATAATTTATATCAACTACATCTTTTACTTCTTAAGGCTTTAGATTTTTTCAGTATATGCAAACATCATGAGAGATATTTTAGCACTTTTTCTTGTGAGTGCTTTTATAGCATACTTTTACTGTCTAAAGATATACCAAGAGGCATATGTCCAAATGCTAAGAGGTCTTTGTACAGTGCCCTGAATAATGTACCTTAAATTTTGGTCAGCCCTGAAGTGGTCAGGCAGTTGAACTATTGATCAGCATAGGCCCCTCCAACTATTCTATTCTAGTTTACCCTACCCTACCCTACTGTACCTTATTCTATTCTTTCCATGTTCATTTTAATATGGAAGTACACATACATCGTAATTGTATATCCCTGAGAATAATGAGTATCTTACTTCTGGTTTCAGTGGTAATAAAGAACAAGGAATACAAGGATTAAAAAAGAAATCTCAAGATAGAAACAAAGAAACAACTAAACAAATGTGAAAGCTGGTGATGTTGATACAGCAGAGCTTTCTATTCTCTCATATAATTGAGAAGAATCTTTGATACACCAGTTTAAAACATAACCAAGCCTGATACTCACTTTTATTTATGATATTACACTTCTAGGTGTTTTAAAAGACCATAAAGTGAATTTAAATAATTTTAAAAAAGTGAGTGTAATTTTTTTTTTAAGAAACTTGATAACTCTACTGAAGGAGCATGAATACATCCAGTCAAGTCACTGGACTTCTGTTCTTGATTGTAGTGCCCCATAAATAAATAACAACTCCTATCACATAAGGCCAACTGAGTATAAACACTGTATAGTAGCCATCCTTTTTTTACTTTTTCTAGGAAGAGCCATAATGTTGGGTTAAAATCTTTTTATGCAGCAGTCATGTTCAGTAGAGGCAATTGAACAATGGTTTAATTTCTTATATTGAAAAATGATGATTTCAAGTACTGTGCTTTTTTTTCCTAATGAACTGAATATTTGCAAAGAATATTTATACTAGCAGCAGGTATGTAACTAAATACACCAAGAAAGTCACAAAGTGGAAATGATTGAAATTATTTTTGAGACTTAACTGATTTTAGTATAAAATTATGAAGTCTTACATTCTAAGACAATATCTCTTGTAAAAGAGTTTCTAAAATAAAGAAACAAATGAGTACCAGGAGCAAGCAATATAAA